GACCTTGTGTATTTTTCTTTGATTTATAAAATGTAATAGAGTGTTTGTTTATTAACAGCTTTTCTTATGTAATAGAAGAGAATTGTCTCGTCCATTTTTAATTAATGGAAATCTGTGAGCTAGAAAATGACACTACACAAATAAGTTGTGTGTGCATGGAAAATAAATACCAGGATTTTGTATAAGTACAGAGAAGTCAGTGTGTAGACATGAGATAAAGAGAAATGTAAAAACTGATTTTGATAGGACTCTCAGCGAATCTCTCAAATTCCTCTCCCACTTTTCACCTGAGAAACTCAGCAAAGTCCAAATCCCAGGACATGCGTACTCATTTTGATGCAGGTTCTTTCAGGGCCTAAGCTATTTCTTGGCGATAAATGAAACATACTCCACTATCAGGGTCCTTCTGACCTTTTCCTCTAAGAAAGAATTTCCTCCTGCTGTTCATAATCAGGTTCGCGTGGCCCAGCTGCACATGGAACGTGTTCCATGTATTGGAATCACAAGTCTGTATAAAATGTAAGTCTCTCTCAAGAGGGTCAGCATTTACTTGCTGTCGTGAAAGGGAGATTGTGTTAAGATTGAGGCAGAACGTAGGAATCTTTGAAAGCAGCTGTCTTCTGAAATGAGCAAAGTAGATGACCTTTCTCTGTCTTTGACATTTGTCACTTCTTACGGAAGTGAGGAAATGAGAAATCTGTTGAAAATGTGTATTTGCAGCAGAGCTAAAGAATCTTTCATTGCTGGGTTTTTTTGTTTGTTTGTTGTTTGTTTGTTTGTTTTGAGACTCTGTCTCACTCTGTTGCCCAGGCTGGAATGTAGTGGTACAATCTTGGCTCACTGCAACCTCTGCCTCCCAGGTTCAAGTGATTCTCCTGCCTCAGCCTCCCGAGTAGCTGGGATTACAGGCGCCCACCACTACACCTGGCTAATTTTTTTTTACAGTTTTGGTAGAGACGAGGTTTCAGGCTGGTTTCAAACTCCTGACCTCAAGTGATCCGCCCGCCTCAGCCTCCCAAAGTGCTGGGATTACAGACGTGAGCCACCGCGCCTGGCCTGCTGGTTTTTTTTAATTAATGGAAATCTGTGAGCTAGAAAATGACACTACACAAATAAGTTGTGTGTGCATGTGATGAGGGCCCTAGAGAGAAGTTTTCCATGGCGAATTTTGTTTTTTAAAAATGTTTTGGCCTGGCATGGTGGCTCACACTTGTAATCCCAGCACTTTGGGAGGCTGAGGCAGGCGGATCACAAGGTCAGGAGCTTGAGACCAGCCTGGCCAATATGGTGAAACCCCATTTCTACTAAAAATACAAAAATTAGCCAGGCGTGGTGGCGCGCACCTCTAATCCCAGCTACTCAGGAGGCTGAGGCAGGACAATCACTTGAACCCGGGAGGTGGAGGTTGCAGTGAGCCGAGATCATGCCACTGCACTCCAGCCTGGGTGACAGAGAGAGACTCCATCTCAAAAAAAAAAAAGAATGTTTCAGGCTACTCAAGCACAGTATTGTAGGACAGAAGGGAAATAGAACCTGGTGGCTCTCTGAGGGAATCCTGTACCCTAAGAGGAAGATGCATACACAGGAAGAAAATTAGCTCATACAAAACAATGTGAAAACAGTTCCAAAATAGTCTAATCTTTTCTGGCTCTTTTACAGTACTTCAAATTGCTAAGGTGACACACAAGGATTCACAGTTCCAAAGAGCCCACACATGTGGCCTTCCCAATCTGAAGGCCCCTTGGCACAGCCGTGATTTTGAGTTGCTGCTGCCACTGCAGTAGGATAATCAGTGCGGGAATTTGGAGGAAGTTCAAGCCGTAGCTGACGATCCACTCTGCAGTTTTCCGTTGAGGTTATTGAAGCTATTGTAGAGTGATTAAAAAAGCCATTGAAGTAGCAAGGGAGGAAGGAGTCGCTCTCTGTGCACATGAAACCCTGACCTTCATGGCCCAGAATTGAAAATGTCTCTCAAGGGCTTGCTAAATGAATGGAACTTAAAAACAGAATATCAAGCTCATAGTCAAATCTGGGGAAGAAGCTTCAGAGGGCAATGCTTTGCCCATTATTTATATGTGAGTTCCTCAACCTAAGCCAGGTTTTCTTCACTATAAAATGCCTGGGATGGTCTGTAAAGACCTTGTGTATTTTTCTTTGATTTATAAAATGTAATAGAGTGTTTGTTTATTAACAGCTTTTCTTATGTAATAGAAGAGAATTGTCTCGTCCATCTAAGTTTAATCACATTCACTAAAGCCATAGAAATGACAGAGTTAGATGAATTCCAAAGCGAAAGAAGAATCTAGGTTACTTCATGGGCATGAGTAATGATATTCATTTTACCACACAGAAAGGAGGGAAGGAATTACCTGCATTCTATAGGGAAGCAACTCTGGGGGCAGGGGCAGTGGTACTGGAAGGACAGGTACCAGGACAGGCTGGGCCTGCTGCCTGATCCTACCTGGACCTTGAGGGACTATCTCATGCTGACCAGAGCAGAATCTCAGGGTCTGCACTGTCAGACCCCAGTAGTGAAGCTGCCCCCACACCTTCCCCAGATACCAAATCTGTTTGTGCTTTCATTGATTATTATCACTTCTACTATTATCATTCTCATTGCTCCCAAATTATGTTAGCTAGAAGCAGTTCAGTTCATATAAAACATACAGGTAATGAAAGTTTTAATAACAATACCACTCTGCTTCCAGAAAGACCTAATATTTGCTGTTATGGTGGCAAATACCTTGCCCAGAGCTCCCGAATAGTCTGCCGCCTCCCCCGTCCTCCCTCCAGGGCATGTACAGTAAAGTTGGATGATTGACGTGTTCCAGATGACTCAGCTTTGGGCACTCAAGCTGCTTGGTCCCCAGCACCTGGTTTATTCCTCCTCCTCCTCTTCCACACCTTGTTTTCCTTCTTTGAAGGAATGGAGGAATGCTTCAGCAGAAGGAGTAGGGAAGGATGCAGTGGTGGTTGGTTGTAGTAAACAGGAGCCTGGCTTGCCGAAGGGGCTGAGCCTCACAGGGGCTGTGCTGGAGTGGTTACTGCAGTCTTAGTACGTGTCTGTGCTCCTCGAGGCAGAGGAGCCCTGTTTATAGGCCTGGTTCATAATTTGCTGATCTGTCCTAGGAAGTAAATGGCCCAGGGTTATCAGCCGTGTTCATTTGTGCAGAACATTTTACATCCTCCTGTTGGTTCAATCCATCCCAGAGTCTAAATTACAGGTCATAAAGCAGCTTCTGCACACAGGATTAGAATGAGAACAAAGGAGTTAGAGAATATTGTGTGGAAAAATTGGAAAACACAGAAAGTATGTAGAAAAAAAATCACTCCTAGGTTGACTCTCCTTCTAGTCTGTCTTGTTTCTGGGTATGAGATTTATTTTTTTTTACAAAGTCATGGTCACAGGTTGGTGTTTTGGAAGGTAGCGTAAGAAACCACCCTTCTCACCTGGGGACCTCATTTGATAACCGGCGTTGGCTAATCTGAGCTGGATTCCTCCAGACAGGGTTGGTGACAGAGTAACACACTCCAGTCTCTGACCCTCTTTTTCTAGACTCCAGTACTCACTCATTCATGCATTCTTGTTTTCAACAAATATTTAATGTCCTCCTGCCATGCAAGCTCTTTCTTGGCCCCAAAAGATGGGAAGAGCACAGGGGACTGACGCGCGGAGTTTATTGCGTGGAGAAGGCAGGTGGTAGCTGGATGCCGGAGGAGTGTAGACAGCCATTTTCTGGCCCACCTTGTCTTTGGATGTCACAGCCATTTTCTGAAGGAAAGGAACTGGAAGAGACTGTCACCCTTTTTAAATGACACAGTTCAGATATATTCAAATTCATTTGGGTTAGAATACAAGCTGTCAAGGGTTTTGTTGGCATCCTGCTAAAAATATATTCCTATCTCTTGAATTTTCAAAATTTCATTTTATTGTGATATGAACACCTAACATGAGATCGACCCTCTTAACAAATTTTAAATTGTACAATGCAGTATTGTTGTCTATAGGTACAATGTTGTAGAGCAGATCTCTAGAACGTATTTTTCTTAACATAACTGAAACTTTATAAACATTAATGAACAGCCCCCAATTTCCCTCCCCCGCTCCCAGCTCCTAATGACCACCTTTCCACTCTTCAATTGTATGAATTTGACTATTTTAGATTTCACATAGAAATGTGATCGTGTAATACTTGTCCTTCTGTGACTGGCTGATTTCACTTAGCATAACGTCTTCAAGGTTCATTCCTGTTGCTGCAAGTACAGA